TGACCTTCTAGCAAGAGAGAAGCTTGCAGAGAAAGAAAAATGCCAAGATGATGGAAAACACATGGGTGTTCACATCTGCACAGCAATCCTGCAACGAGTGCCCCCCTGCCTGGTAAATGCTTATTCATCTTTTTTTTTTTGCCTCTGACTCAAAGCTCTGTCTTCCACTGTGTCCTTCCCAGCCTCCACTGGCCCCCTCCTTCGTTTGTGCATTGCCTTACTCTACCTGTCGTCCCCAGGTGATAGCCTTGCTTCTGCAGCTATGCTCAAAGGCAGGAACTGTATTTCTGCTGGTTTCCCTGGTGCCCAGCAAGCACAGTGCCTGGCGCAGAGGAAACACAGGTATGTTGGACAATGAAAATCCTCACCCTGTCATCAGGCAAAAGGGAAATGAAGCTGCTTCTGTAACAGGCAGAGAAGAGTGTGTGAATATCCTCATTTAATTTCTTCAATCTCCTCCCTTCACCCAATACTTCTTTTTTCTTTTTTTGAAACTGATGCTTAATCATCATGTTAGCATTTTTAGTCTTTAAAAATGACTAGGTAGAGCCATTTTGTCCTAGGAAAGAAAAAGCACTTAACCCTTCCTGCTGATTTAGCACTTCTTAACTAGATCACGTAAAACTTCTAGATGTTTGAAAGGACGACTTTTTTTTTAAATGTGAAATGTTCTCTGTAAGTGGTGGTGGTTGTGTGGGCAATTACCTTGATGGAACGGTAGCCTCCAAGTAATGCTCCCAGAGGTCACAAAACCACTTCACCCACCAAATTCAGATGCTTGAAGCATGCAGTGTATTAAATAAATCTAAAATGTCCAGGAGAAAGCAGGGGAAAGAAATGGAATAGGATAGGGTCCATGCTAGGGGAAGGATGGGCCACCCTACCAGACTCTTGGGTTTTGCATTGTTCATGTGTTCAGTCTTTGCCCTGCCAACTTCTCTGCTGATGCGGAGGTTACGTGGACTAGAGCAGAGGTTCTAGAAAGGTGGGGTTCAGTGGATGGGAGGTGCCTGGTGCCAGTGTCTTTCCACCCTTGGAGAAGGCAAGTACTCTTGGTCCCAGATGCAGGTACTAGTCTGTTGAGTAGTGATGGGTTTGATTAGCATTTCTCAGGCAGAGTACACGTGGGGCCAGAATGGGAATGGAATGAATGTCAAAGATAGGTATCTGATTTAGGGATGACATAGCTCTCATTTTGAAGGTGCTGTGATTTGCTTATGACTTGGTTCTCCCACCCCATTCTATTCATGGTAACATGTTTATTCAGTCCTTTTTAATTGTGTTCAACATGCTTAGGTTTCATTTATTTGATCTATGTTGAACACGTTTTACAGGTTTCTAACTTGCTGTCTATATTTAACACTTCCTGTGAGCTTTATCCATCCCACTTGTTTTTCTCGTTCTTTCTAACAGAATTGAATATTCTCCAATAATACAGAACGCACATTATAATGGTTGCATAATACAGTACGATAGTTACTATAGATTCTCATTAATTGGCTTTCATTGGTTACTCATTTAACTCCAGTAAAAAAAAAAAAAAAGGTTACTGCAAAGTAGGTGACCTATCACTGGTTCCAGTAAATGACAACTTTACATTTATGTTGATTTGGAAAAATCAGCAGAGGAGAAGAATTGTAGAATCTAGGTGTCCCATATGTAGAAAACACCTTCAGTCCCGTCCTTTGCTGGGTGGCTAGGAGCAGGGTAAGGTGATGAACAGAAATGAACTATTGAGTCCTGGAAAGAACTTGAACTCCATGATCTCCAATCATTTCCATTTTCAGATATGGAGTGTGAGGCTTACAGAAGCAAAGGGTCGTATCCAAGGTCACACATCTAGTTCTCTGCAAACCTTGGTAGTCTTCAGTCCCTTGAAACCTGGTCCAGTGTTCTTGCCTCTGTGTTGTTAAGTGAAATTACTTTCTGGTGTTCTTTTGGCAGCTGAATTATGGTAAGCATTTACTTGAAAGAGCTTTTCTGAAAATGAGAATGCACATAAAGTCTCCATGTATGAAAATAGATATTTTTTACATTTCACTCTGGTGAGTGCTAATGGGGTCTCTCTATTTCAATGTGCCAGTCATTTACAAAGAGAAACAAAAAGCCAGCAGAGGAAATGCTCAGTTTTGTAGGGGGTTGGGTGAGTAGCAGTGTGGTTGTATTGGATTAGATTGTTAGATGTGGTGTCCTATAAATAGGAGGGACTGAATTGGTCCTGAACATGCTTTTCTTTAAACTTATAACCACTGACACTTGACACCTACCATTTATCTTCTTTTCCAAAAGGTATCCTATTCTTTTCTGACTGTAATATTTGTGGCTCTTTGAATTAACAATACACACGATAAAAATGCAAATAAAATCAGAAGTCTTTATTGGATGCCTGTTTTATGCCAGGCACTGAGAACTTTGGCTATAACAATGACTGAATAAATTTGCCTGCCCTCGTGGAGCTTCTAGTCTAGAAGGGAGAGAAAGGAAATACAGTAAAAAAACTATAACAAACATGAAATAAGAGCATAAGTCATTCAAAGAAAGATTACAATAATTAAGTGGTATGGAGAAAATAACCAGGGTGGTGTGTTCAGTATTACTGGGGAGCCTGCTTTGGAGGGAAGGACCAGGAGGTTGCATTTGCAGTTAGAGCTGAAGGAGGCAGGCTTGGGAAGAGTGGGGAAGGGCTCTGTGGGTAAAGGGAAGAGTAGTACAAAAACCCTGAGGCAGGATTGGGCTTGGGTGTGAATGAAGAGGATGAAAGTGGGCGGGAGACATAGGCAAGTCAGTTGGTGTGTGACCTTGCAGGCCATGCTCAAAAGCCTGGATTTTTATCCTGGGAGAACTGGGAAGCCATGGAGGGTTTTTAGCAAGAGAATGTAAAGGATGCTGATTTAGGCATTAAGATGAGCTCTTGGGCTGCTGTGGAGAATGGAGAAGGCAAGGCAATATGGAAGCGGGGAGACCAGTTAGGCTGTTGGAGGTGCCCCAGTAAGAGATGATGGCAGCTTGCAGAGGAATTTGAGTGGAGTTGGGGGGGGGAAGTGGACAGATTCCAGCCCTGGGAGTCCTCATGATTTGCTCTTGGATTGGATCTTGGAGGGTAGAAGAAAAGGAAGATTCAAGGACAAGTTCTGGTCTTTTCAGCTTAAACTGGGTGGTTCCATTTACTAAACTGGGAACTCCAGGAGAAAATAGAGGGCTGGGGTGGGGGGGAGAACAAGAGCTCTGTCCTGGGCATATACAATCTGAAATGCTTATTAAACCTTCCATGTGGAGATATTAAGGATATTGAATGTGTCTGTTGGTTAAGGGAGAGATTGGGGTGGTACATATACACTTGAGTGGCATTGGCCATGGAGCTGGAACGATGTCCAAGAGAACGGAGTGAGGTGAGGACACTTATCATTGATGTGCCTGCTGGAGGAAAGAGCTATGAATATCATGGCTGACTGATCATTATCCCCTTTGCACTGGGCTCCAGCATCAGAACCTCTGATGAGCTGTCTGGGCCAATACTGCCAATCAGTTAATTCCTAATAGATGAATAAAGAAGGAAACCGCAAAAAGGGAGAAAGTAAACATGTAAGTTAATCCCAAGAGCTGCGTGTGCGTGTGTTCCTGGCACTAAATTCTAGGTGGAATTTATTAGGACTTGTACCCAGCAGTATAAAAATGTTAACAAACATTTGCTAATCATCTCTAGTTTACAAAATGATTACTTCATACATTTAATGGATCATGAATATTATCATGCAAAGTCATTGGGATTTTGTAGGAGGTGTAGAAGCATTCCCTAAGTGGCTCTTATCTCCGCCCTTGACAAAAGCTAAAAGCCTGCCACTTAACAGTAGAGTAGTGTAGGCCTTTCTTTGGGTAGAAAAGCAAATGTCCTAGGTGGGTTTTATGTGGGTAGGGTCCTCCGCCTGGGTTAGGTGCCTCCAAGATAGAGGACCAGCCTTGCTTCCTGCCTTCCACAGCCTAGACTTCTACAGCTGGAAGATTGTGGTGGTCTTTGCTGTGCTGCAAACTTCAAAGAGCAACTCGTAGAATTACACAAGGATGGAGAGGCCTGAGAAATCGCCTAGTTCACCTATCCTCCCCTATCCCCTGCTTCATTTTGTAGATGAGAAGACCGAGGCCCAAGGTCAAGAACTTGATTTTTTTTTTTTTCCCTTCCTGTTAGAAGCCACTCTTTAGGATGAGGTTCTTCAAGGTCCATGTAGTCTGTGATGTTGCTTGGGCCACAGACCTTTTGAAGGTCTTGGTTATTTCTCCAGGAGTCTGAAAAACCAAGTAGTTCTACAGAGGATGGACGGGGTTAGGGCACGAGAGGAGGAACGAAACATACCTTTGGTATTCATTTGTCATCCTCTGAATAGTTTCTTTTAATTCTGCTCTGTTGGTAGTCCATTTCTGACTTGAGGAAGTGAGGTGTACAATAACGAGAACACCTAGTTTATCACGATTGGGGGGTGAGGAGAGGGTCGGAGTATGAAATGATGAAGGTCTCATTTTGCAGAACTTGGAGAAAGAGATTCCTGGCCAGGAGCAGAATTAGCTGGACTCATGCGCCTCGAGGCCTATTGAATTGGCCTCCACTTTAATAGGTCATGAGCAGAGTCATCCACTCCATGTTTACAGAGAAGTTCCAGGCATCCTTATGGATCATGCACATGTCTTGTATTCTTTACGCAAAAGTGGAATTGTCTGGCATTATTAACACTAGTAAATCTCTGCTGGGTACAAAGCAAAGACAAGTTTCCCTCTACGCATCGTGAAGAGAAAGAGACCGAGTCCATGGGGAGAAGTGTAACTGGAGCCTGCTGAGTGGCATTTGGGTCCTGCTGTAAACACGGGATTCTCTGAATTCAGGATCCATTTATCTGATTGTCTCACTTTTTTACAGCAACTTAATCTGTTTGTAGTCGGCCACATTGCTCAGTGTCCCATCAAAATTTCTGTCAGAAAGTCACTGGCTGGCCAATTATGAATTTGTCAAAATGACAAGTGGGTACAGTGACAGAGGTGGCATTTCCGGGTTTTGTGTTGAATGAATGCTGCCGGATGGAGGGGTCGGAGGTGCCTGAAAAGATAAAGTATTGGCAAGGTGCAGGGGCGGGGTGGAATGAAAAAGGCAACCTGGATCCTCTGGACATTTCTAACTGTATATCTTTTCTCTTTCTTACTTTCCCTCTCCTTCCTTCCGTCTTCTTTTCCTCCTCCTCATTCTCTGTCCCCTTCTGTTTCTGCGTTTCCTTGACTCCTAGATTCAGAAAGGGAGATCCATGCAGCCCCTCATGTGAGTGAGAAATTAATCCAGCTGTTTCGGAATAAGAGTGACTTCACCTTTTTGGCCACTGTACAGCAAAAGCCATCGACTTCAGGAGTGATCCTCTCCATTCGAGAGCTGGAACACAGGTAAGCTGTACTTTTGAAAGTCTACTTAGAATTAATGGACTACACAAAGTGCCTTGGAATTGAGAGGTTGTATCTCTGAGAGCATGTAGCTAGCTGAAGCCTTGTTGCTGTTGAACACATTGATGAATGTTCCTTGCATTAAGAACTTACTTTGGGCAAAGTGGCTTTCTTGTTGACTCTCCAAGGACCACTCCTAAGTGTCTTTCTTGCCTATCTTCTGTCTTCTGGCAGGCTTGGCTCCTATGAAACCATATCCTCTGTCATATTGGCTTGAGGTCCTCAAGCAAAGTTAGACTTAATTTTTACTCTATGCAGGAACTGTGCTGGGCACTGGGAATACTAAGGTGAAAATATAAAATTTCTGTTGTAAGGATCTCATAAGGCAGTAGGGAAGATGGACAGATGTCACAAAGTATTGTAGATGCAATGCTAGAAATGTGTGTTTAAGGAATAAAGGTAATAATAGTCCATTCTGAAGGATCGTGGTAAGCTAAGGAAGGCTTCAGAAAGGATTGTGGTTGTATAAAGGAAAGTGAGTATTCATTCGACAGGCTGAATGAGCAGTAGGGGTGGAACGAAGGGCATTCCAGAAATCACTTGCTATGATTTTTGGGAAGGGAAAGGTGGGTGGGATCAGTGGTTGGCATGTTGTGTGTGGGGAGGGGCTGAGGAGTTTAGGGTGAGCAGGAAGGAGTACTACTACAGAGGTAGGTGCCTCTGTAGCCCCTATAGAGAGAACAGAAGTGTCTGGGAGTTCACGGATCCCCCAGGCAGCCTGTCGCCCATGATTGACAATGTGAGAGTTGGGAAGCCTAGTTCCTTTGCCCTGGGGGCCTTAAGGCCAGACCAGCTCTGCAGCTTGATTAATTCTCCAGTGCTACCTGGGATTAGGCTGAGGCTTCCATGTCCTTCCCCACCCTCTCCCCCCACCCCCAGCACTTCCTTAGGAAATCACTTACTCTCAAATTCACATGTCTGTGTCTGCTTCTGGGGAACCTGAATTCAGATAACCCTTCCTTTATCTATTTAGGTGGACCTATCTAAAAGCAGAACTATGTGAAGGCAGTTCGGTACACTAGGTCAGTGGTTAGGGAAGATCATATACAGAGTGGCAACTCTGGAAGGCCCAGAATTCTGGCAGGTCAGGAAGTCCTTTTGACATGCTAAACAGGAAGAGCAGTGTGGACAGGACAAATGCGGGAAAATGCAATTTTGGGGGGTGGAGTGGAGAGGCGCAGAGAACAGACTAATGTGGCTGGAGCAGAGGATCTCCATGGGCCTTTTTAGCAGAAGCGAGGATCCAAAGTTCTCTTTTCAATGCTTAAATTTGATCTCTGCCTCAAAGGGATGCGATGGATCCTGATCCTTCTGTAGGGTTGTTGTCAGCATACTTGGCTGTTTCTGGGTCAGCCCAGAGAAAGCAAGGTGGCATGTGCTGGGGAGCAGATAAAGATTAGAGGCCAAGTGTTCTGTAGACTCAGAGAAGGAGTCCTTGTTACTCCAAGGTGGAGGTGTCCAGCCAGTCTCCACTTCACAGACCTGGAAGGGTGATGTGCTTGCGCCCCCCCCCGGGGCAACATGACGCGGTTGGGTGTGAGGGCCACCTCAGTAGGAGGGCCATACGAGTGTCCAAGAATGGAACATAGAGGATCTTTAATCTCCATGAAACCAGAGGGGGTAACTTCCCAAGGTGAGTGAGAAGCCAGTGGAATGGCACCTGTCGGAGTAGAGAGAGCAGAGACTGAGAGCTGGCCTGAGGGAGGCTGGAGTTCTAGGTCTTGCTCTGCTGCGCTGCTGAAGGTCTCAGAACTCCCCTTCCTTGTGATGAAGGGAGGTGGCCATCTACTTTGCAGGGTTGCTGTGAGGGTGGAAGAGGATTGGGCCTGGGAAGTAGACGGCCCTTAAATTACACATTACTTCTTGTCTAAGCATGTATCTTAAAGCTACTACCTGGGTTTTTCTTTTGGATGTTTTTTTTTTTATTTAATGGTAAAACCTAACTCCTTTTAGGAAAGGTTTAAAAAGCAACTTGTATTGCCACATGGTCCTGTAATGCCACCTCTCTTTCCTCACAGGTTTCTTTTCTTTTTTTAAAGATTTTATTTTATTTATTTGACAGAGAGACAGCTAGAGAGGGAACACAAGCAGGTGGAGTGGGAAAGGGAGAAGCAGGCTCCTGGCCGAGCAGGGAGCCCGATGCGGGGCTTGATTCCAGGACTCTGGAATCATGACCTGAGCCAAAGGCAGACACTTAACGACTGAGCCACCCAGGCACCCCTCCTCACAGGTTTCTAATAGAACCTGAGGATCCTTGAATGGAGAATCATCTGAGCATTTTTCATTGTAGTAGAAAAACCTCAGTCTTGATTCAAAAATAATAAAAGAAATGGAAAATTCCCCTCCCCCTTGGAATTCTATGGTGCCTTCCTCTATGCTTGTTTGGTCTGATCAAGGCTAGGTATAAAGAATTGAATCTGTCATGCACTGGCTATGGGTCATAAAGAAGACCTGGTTTCCACACTTAAGCAGATGTTCACCTAGTTAAGGAGACCTGGTATGTAAGAGGGATAGATGATCGTGTATTTTTAGGAATTCGGCTATTATAAGCCAGCAGTGTTCCCATCTGTAATAGCGAATCTTCAGTCACTCTTCAGATTTATTTATCAGGACGACCATGTCGAGAGCAGCAAATTGTCTTGAAGACATTGGTCATGGACCTCCAACCAGATGACTCTTGATTCAGTAGTGGAGGATTTAGGGACTGGCTAGGTTAGATAAAGAAATTGGAATCTGTCAGGGATCTGACAGCCTGACTGGAAGGTGAGACTCCCCAGTTCTTTTCATGGTTCTTTCCTATGTGATCCTCATTGTATCACTCATGATCCAGATGAATTAAATATGTATCTGCCACAGTTGGGATATAGTGGGCACTTAGGTTTCCAGATAATTTAAAAAATTTTTACATTTCACTACTTTTTAGTATATTCAGAGTTGTGCATTCAACACAATCCTTCACAAATTTCCTTTACCTCCAGGAGAAATCCCATGCCCTGAAGGTGTCCCTCAACTGTCTCCCCATAGCACCCCAACCTTAGGCAACCACTCATGTATTTTCTGGCTCTATGGATTTGCCGATTTCGGACATTTTCTATAAATGGAATCATATAATGTGTTTGTGACTGGCTTTCATTTAGACTGTGGTTTAAATGAAAGGGTTTATTTTCAGGGTTCTTTCGTGGTGATCGTGTGTCAGTGGTGCATTTTTAAATTGCAGAATATTGCCTTGTTTGGACAAACCATGTTTTATTGATCAGTTGGACACTGAATTTTTTTTTTCCAGTTTTTGGCAGTTAGGAATAATGCTGCTATGAAATTTCATGTAGTTTCTGTGTAGACCTATATTTGTATTCTCTTGGGGATATAACTAGGAGTAGAATGGCTAGATCGAGTGGTGTCTCTGTGTTTGTTGAATTGCCAGGATGTTTTCCAAAGTACCCGTACCTTTTCTGCATTCCTGCCAGCAGTATGTGAGAGTTGCAGTTTTTTCACAGCTTTGTTAATTACGTAACTATCTTTCTCTTTGATACAGCCATTCTGATAAACGTGAAGTGACCCCTCATTGTTGCATTTCCTGATGGCCAGTGATGTTGAGTATCTTCATGTTGTGTTGCCTGCTTACACATCCTCTTTGGAGAAAGGGCTATTCAGATCATTGGCCCATTTTTTAAGTTGGGTTGTGTTAAGATTTTGTGATAGTTCTTTACAGTCACAAGTCCCATATCAGATAGGATTTATGTTTTTTCAACTTGCAGATTGTCTTCATGTAAAACCCTAAGTTCTTGAATTAGATGTCCAGTGTGCCTATTTTTTTCTTCATTGCTGGTGCTTTTGTTCTAAGAAATCATTGCTTGACTGGAGGCTATTAAGACTTCTGGGATTTATTTAAAAAGTTTTATAGGCTTAGCTCTTTAAGTCTTTGATATCTTTAAGTTTTTTTCTATATGGTGTGGAGTGTAGTGATTCAATTTCATCTTTTTGCATATGGATAACCAGTTGTCCCATCACCTTTTGTGGAGTCCTTTTTTCCCCAGTGGATTATCTTGGCTCCCTTGTCAAAGATCAATCGACTGTAAGTGGACAGATTTATTTCTGGACTCTGAATTCTAGGCCATTGACCTCTGTCCTTATGCTAGTGCTGTTTTAATGATTTTAGTTTTCTAGTAAGTTTTGAAGTTGAAGTGTGAGCCCTCTGACTTTGTTTTTCAAGGTTGTTTTGGTTATTCCAGTCCTCTTGAATTTCCATGAGTTTTAGGACCAGCTTTCTAATAGTCTGCAAAGATGTCAGCTGGATTTTTTCAAAGGGATGATGTTGAATCTGTAGATTTATTTAGGGAGTATTGTCATCTTGGCAGTATTATCCATGGACATGGAGTTTCTTTCCATTTTAGGTCTTTAATTTTAAACATTGTTTTATAGTTTCAGAGTACAGGTTTTGCATGATTTGTTTTTTAAATTATAGTGGCATCAAAAATGATAAAGGGCATTATTTTCATAATCTGATTTTGTTTGCTCATTGCTACTTTATAGAAATGCACTTGATGTTTGTATGTTGAACCTCGTCTCCTGCAGACTTGCTGACCTCATTAGATTAGTTTTTTAGTGGATTTCTCTCAATACGTACAAGATCTTGTTACTTGCAAATAGGACAGAAATAAAATTATCTCTACATGGTTACCTTATTTTCTTGCCTAACCGGCGTGGCTAGAACTTCCAGTACAGTGTTGAAGAGAACTGGTGAGAACAGGTAGTCTTGTTCCTGCTTGGAAGAAGGATTGCTCTGTTTTTCACCATGGAGTGTGAGGTTAGCTTGTATTGGATGCTCTTAGCCAGGTGCAAGTTCCTTTCCATTCCTGGTTTGCGGGGTGAGTGGGTGAGTGAGTGGGTGAGTGAGTGGGTGGGTGAGTGGGTGGGTGTGTTTCTTTTTATCATGAAAGGGTATT